AAGCTGCCCTCGCTTCCCATTTGCTGTTCCCTCCGAGCTGCTCCTATTTTTGTCTGAGTCCACCCCCAGGTTTGTTCCCAGCCTGTGCAGCTGCAGCTCCTTCCAGCTCTGCCTCGGAAGGCAGCCGAGGACCCCCAGTTCTCATGGCAACACACTTGCTACTCATCCTGTCTGCTCCCTGCTGGGACACTCAGCCCAGAGCTGGCACCAGAGCCCTCCAGGAAAGGGCAGCCACGTACAAACTGGAGCAGGGGGCTTTGGAAGCAGGTCCCAAGTGGAAGCAAAACTGGCCCTTGAGCACTTTGCAAGAATCTGCACAGTCTTGGTTGGCTTGTTTTCATCTACAGCCACAGGGACATTGTCCAGCAGTTCCTGGAGAGATGCTGGAGCCCAACGGGCGAGTTGTGCTTGAATTACAGAGCTGTGGGTTGGCCAGTGTCACTGGAGGCTATGTGAGAGCAATGACTTTGATTGCTGCAGCTCTGAGTGGTTGAGAGCACCCAGCAGCTGCACAGTGCTGTAAAGAGCACAGTTTGCCACTACAGCAGCACAAAGCTCTTGCTTCTGGGGAGGTCTGCCTTGCATCTCCAGTAGTGGAATCTCCCTGCCAGTGCTCCTCAGGCTTTTTGAGCCATTCATTCATTCAGCCATAAAGTGCTGAGAAAAGCCTTCTGCCTGGCACTCCTGCATCTTTTGTAAGCTTCTTTGAGGTTTCATAGACTGCTTTGTATTATCTGACTTTGATGTGAATCTAGTAGAGCAAGAACCATCTGTGCCTTCTGAAATGTCTCAGTGCCCTTTGCTGTAGCCACCTTCCAAAGCTTGTGGTTACCTGGGTGCATGGAGGTTTTCTTTTTTAAGAGCCCTAGTGTCTAACCTAGCTATGGATAGGTAAGAATTGGTGGCTCAGTAGTTTCTGCAGTGTCCTGGTTGCCCCAGTACTGCCTAAAATGTTCTCAGCCTGACAGAGCCCTTCCCACTGCCCAGCTCACAGGGTGAAGAACAGTTCAAGGCTGGTTCTTCACCTGAGCTGTGGGCACTCTTCTCCAGGGAAGGTGAAGTACCAGCAGCTCCAGCCTTCTCCCAGCCCAGAAGAGCAGAGCCACACTGCTTCCCCACTCTCCTCAAAACCTGAAGTGCCAGAGAGAACAGATCTTGGTCTGTCCAGATAAGGACCTATGCTCTGGGCTTTTTTTCTGGCTTGCTCCCAATGAAATGAGGCAACAAGAAGCTTCCAATCACAGACACATTTATTCTCCCATATCTGTACAGCTGATAGGTCAGTGCATGCTTCAAGCAGCAGTAGCCAGAGAAATTTCTCATCCTGCTAGTGGGGTAAACACACTGCTCTGGCTGCATTGTGAGCCCACACGGATGCTTACCTGTTCCCAGGCTGGGAGTGCCAACTGCACTGAGTTAAGGAAAAAGAAACCCACAAGGGAACAAAAAAAGCAGGAGGAAGGGTTTTGATTTCTTGCATCTGGGGAGAAGAAGCCCCAGTTCCTGTCTCTTGGCCCTGGCCACAGCTATGGCTTTGAGGTGCAGTGCTCCTGTCTCCTTGCAAGCCTCCTGCTTATCCACAGGTGGTGAGTGCCAGATCCCTTTCTGTCCGTGCTCCACAGTGTCACTGCCACATTCCCAGAACAACGAGTCCTTTGCCAAACAATGCTGCTCTTCCGGGAGGAGGGGACGCACAGTCAGGAGTGGGAAATTGCTGCTGAGGAGCATGGAAACTTGCCCACAGGGTTCCTGCAAGTAGTGCTCTCGTGTGAGCTCTGCTCCAAAGGGCTCCTTGGCAGGGACAAGGACAGTCTGTGGTGGGTGAGGTGAGAACAGCAGAACAGACCACACAACGGGAATGCTGCAGCATCCTTCCCATCGGGACGGCGAGCCTGGCAGCAGCAGGAAGGGGATGGGATGTGCTAAATGATAAATACCTTCAGATGGCATAATCTCTTGGGTTCTGTTTCCTGAGGGTCTGCAGAACATCCTCGAGAAGCGATAGCCCCAAATCCACCTTGAAGGAAAGGAGGGGATCAGACAGGTCAGGAAGAGC